GGCTTCACGGAGACCGGCGGCTTCGCTTAGGTTGTGGACGGGTGGCTTGTATACTGTCGGCTCGGGTTAGCGGCTTTACTATTGGTGGGCATGGTTTCTTAGGCGGCTTGTAAACCGGTGGCTTAGAAACGGGCGGCTTAATGGGGGGCTTATAAACCGGCGGCTTAGAAATGGGCGGCTTGTAAACTGGGGGTTTAGAAACGGGTGGGTTAGAGGTGGGTGTGTAAACGGGGATAGGCGGAGGAAGTGGCTTGACGAAAACGGGCGGCTTGTAGAGCGGCGGAAGGGGCGGCCATTGATGGTGGAAGAGCCTGAGGAACAGTTTCAACATTCTCGGTTTCCTCATTGCTCTGCTTCCTCTTCTGTATAAATTGCCCATTCCTTGTAAAGAGGCGGGCGGCGGCGGTGGTGGCGGCGGAGGGGATATAGGGTGGAGAGTGTGAAGAGGAGGAACAAGCAGATGGAGCTTGTGGATTGGACTTTGTTTAGGAGGTGGTGGTTCGAATTGTTGCGCCTGAGTGGTGATGAATTTGGGAAAAGATTGAAATTGTTGGATTTTTTGTTGGTGGGGGTGGCGGCGGCGGTGGTAATGGCGGCGGTGGTGGTTTCTTGTTCTTGATTTTGGTGGTGTTCGTCCGGGAAGAAAATTAAGTGGAAACCCATTCCCATTCCCAGCCAATTGCATATTTTCCCACCTTTTCTTTTCTTTTCTTTTTTTTTTTTTTTTTTTTTTTTGTAATTTATGAAGAAGATAAGTGAATAGACTATTTTGCCCCTTTAAAAACTCACGTGAAAAGCACGTGAGTAAGATTCCGGTCAAAATTGCCTGAAAATTCCAATTTTGAGGCACCGTGCAACAAAAACCAGAGTTTAGGTAAGAACGTGCAAATTTTTTTTGTTTGGGGGGCAAAGTGCAAAACGAGCATTTGTTTAGGGGGTAAACAGCTTTTTACTCTAATAATAATAATAATAATAATAATAATATTCAAATAAAAGTAACGAAATAATCTTCAACTACAAAAATAGTAATTAATTGAACAAGTAAAATAATCGTATTTGTTGTTTTTTCTAATTTTAACAATTATAAAAGAAATATATTAAAAAAATAAAATAAAATAAAACTAAATAAAGAAACAAAATAAAATAATAATAAAATTACGAATAAAGATATAATTTAAAAGGAAATAAAAAAAAAATAAAAGAAAAGAAATGAAAAAATATTAAAAGTCTTTATTTACAAGTGTAGATTTTATTGAAATTATGTGATATCTCCATTATGTAATTAAATAAATGAAATAAAACAAAATAATGATATAATATAAAAAATAAATACAAAGGACAAAGAAAATAAGAAATAAATAAATTTTACATGTAAAAAAGAGAAAAGAAAAAGGAAAAAAAAGACAAATAGCGTGTAACAAAGAGAAAAAAAAAAAAAAAAAAAAAAAGGAGAGTTAATTACACGCCCCCTTCCGGCAAGTGAGTTGGAAGGGGGCAGCTGAAGGCAAACTTACCCCTCCCCTCTCCCCACCCATACCCAACCCACACCCATCCCCCATTACCCACCTCCATTGGAGGTGATTTTGTCTTCCCACCCCTACCCACCCCCATCTCCATTGGAGATGGTCTTAGTTCTTATAGTATCTTCATCTCCATTAAAGCTCGTCTAAAAAGAAAATTTCATTAACCCAATTCAAAAATCGTATCTTCATTTGCACTATTATACAACCAGCATCCGCAAAGAATCAAAATTATGAAGAGCTATAAAGATTCAAAATTACAGTGATGGGATGTGAATATGAAGGAAGAGAGATATTATACCCATGTTCATCTGATCATTTCTTACAGAAATAAATTTTCTTTTTTCTTTCCATCAATCCCTCTCTTTTTTTCTTCACTTAATAATTTTATAATTGAGATTTTATGGTAGCATGCAGCACATAGATATTTAATTTTAAAAAAGGGTGTGAAAATTAGTTATAAAAAATTACACGTAACTACAACGAAGTGTAAATGAATATTTTTTCATGCGTTTTCCTCTCACTAAGTTGTATGTATTAATGGAGACATTTTTGTAAAGAAGGTTGACGAAAGTGATAATGAAGAGAGAGAAGAAACCTCGGTTAGTGGGCTGGAGAAGTGTTTCTTAAAAACTAAATAAATCCAAACTAAAGGGTAGATTAGTAATTGCACTTAATTACTTTTTCTAAAATTACATGAATGCCACATTCTGGCTGGCCAGATTCTGGTCAAGTATCTTTACCGTATAGTAAAATAAATATAAAATATTATTGATTTTAATTATTCATGCATGAAATCGAGTATTTTAGACTTTAAGAGAATAAATAAGTGATGACATAAATGCATTATGTCAGCTATGTACTTCCATAACTCATTAATTTTTCTTTTCCTACACAATAAATTGAAAAATAAATTATAGTACTATGTTTCGTCATTAATAATGAAGCTACTTTTGATGGATTGAATGAAGCCACGCTCACCACATATATTTTTTTTTCAATTTTTAACTTTGAGAAGTATTCAATAGTCATATTAATTTATCGAGGTGCTACTGTATGTAATGCCATGTATATATATGTAGAATTAAAAAAAAAATCTAAAGATATTCTTTAAACAATAAAGAATAAAAAGTATAGAGCTACTCGAAAAAGGTACCTTTAGGTTCGGTAGCTTGAAAATGAGATTTTCAAAGTAAAATCGAGTGGTAGAGTAGTCATATAACTTCACCATCAAAACAAATTGATCTCCACTCTATAACACAAAGAAAAATTAATCGAAAGAATTTTAAAATATACGAAAATTAATTCTTGAATGCAAAATCCATACCCTTAAAGGTGCGATACATTTGAATGACATTTCTGTAACAGCAAATATGTCGCCATCTAATCCGATCTTGTTTTTGGATAGTTCACATTGACCTGCACAAATACCATTTTATAAAAAAAATTAAAAAAAAATAATAATAAAATAAAAATAATAATAATAATATTTGTTGAAGCAGTCTCACCGTATTCACAATAATTCGCATAAACATAATCTTTTACGACTCCATATCGATCCACTTCATAATCCCGAACCTCTAGTTTTATTTCGTGGAACCAATTCATCCTTGTCATGAAGTAATAACGACAATATGAAAAATGACAAGGGGTAATTTTGTCAAATGAGATTTTTTTTTTCTCTCATTAAATCAATGTTATTTGATAATCCTTTAATTGATGTACATTAATTTTAATTTTTAAAGAACGACTGTCAAAATGAAACAGATGGAATAACAACAAATGGGAAAACAAGTACCCTTTGCCACCGCTAATTTTGTTGGTCGAAGCAAAAGTGTTGTAATTGTTCATTGTTGTAGATAACTTAACACTTGATAACCGACGCGGAATAATCGGAAGCTTAGGTGATGGATAACCTCGACTTTGCCACTTGGGCGGAATCAAACGAATACTCAAGGGTTGCTGCAACCATGGGCGGTACTACATAGGGGCAGGGGGGCAGTTGACCCCTCAAAAAAAATAATTTTTTTTTTTTTTTTGCTGTTTTGGCATAAATTTTTTTGAATATTACTTTTGGCCCTCCCAAAGGTTTTGTAAATATGTATCTTAACCGTTAATTTTTTTTTTATTCTCCACAATTTTATATAAATTATAGATATATATTATATTTAATATAAAAATATAAAATAAAATGGTTAAAACTTGTACTATTTTAAATAAAATTTATGAATATTTACTTATCGATCTTTGATTTTTTATATCAATGTCTCTAAAAAATAATACGAGACGCGCCATGAATCCCATTAAGTGCAATATATTATTAGAATAATTTAGATTTTTTTGTCATAC